AAATCATATGTTTTTTAAATGTTGAATCAATTATTAATTAACTAATTTAGACATGTATATTAATATGGGGAAATGGGTCATAATAACATGACTTAATACTCCTAATAATTGATAAAGTTGATTGAAATTAATTGAAATTTAATATTTACTTTTACTTTCTGTAAAAATAAAAAGTATTGAAAAGCGATTTAAAATTGCAACGCAACAACTTTCCATTACTTAATCCATATCCAATTCTTTTTAAATTGCTTACTTTGTAATCTTAGCAAATAGACTTGATATTAAAATGGACGATTTATGCTTCTACACGTGATATTTATGTTTACAAGTTATTGCCAACAATACTATAATTGACTTTCATATTATCTGTACCTTACAAAGTACCAATATACGAGCACAAATTTATTTAAATATTCAAAATTTTCTTCTGCTCTTATGCAGATACATAATTGAATATATGCCATGCATGGACATAATTCAATGAGTCACTTTCGTCAAGAGGATTTTGCTTTCAATGCATTGTAACTGCAATTCACATATTAAATGCCGGAATGCATATTGATGTGTGCAGTAGTTGAGGGTATTGCTCTTCATCTGGCACTTGTTGTATTGCGTTTTCAGTTCCTAGAAGTCAAGTAAAGTATGTTAGTTAAGTGCATTTGTGCTGTTAAACAGATTTGTTTCAACTTCATGTGTTTTCCGTAATACATACATACATGTATAGCTACGTACATACAATTTTGCAAATATAAAATAACAATAAAATTTTAAATGAAAACTACAAAATAAATTTAAGCAACAATTCGTCCTCAACAGAGAATCTTGGTTGGACAATAGAGTAAGTTTGTGGATTGAAAGGTAGCCAAACTTTTCTATTTGGCAAAAATATTTGGAAAAATTGAATCTATTTAAAAATTATAATAAAAAAATTAAAAGAAATTGAATGGTTTTAAAATATTTATATTTAAATTCAAAATTTCAATAAAACTTTGTGTACAATTGTAATAGAAGAAAAAATTTAATTCTCATAAAAATTGGATTTTGTTTTCTGCTTTTTGACAAGTTACATTTTAATAGTATAAATTGCAGAATATGAATAATTTATATTTAATTATTAAGTTTTGATATTCTTTTTCGTGAAGAAGAGGTGTAAAAATGACTAATTCCTTACATAGTAGTATGCCAGTTTTGCACGCTTTAAAAGCAATCTCTCAATATTTTATTATTTATTATTAATTTATTTATTAAAAGATTGTATTTAAATATATAGTTAATATTTCATTACATTATTTTTTAAAAGATTCTATTTAAATAGATAGAATTGACAGCACTCTAATTCAATGCTTTCTGACATGGGTTGTATGCTCCACAAAAGAGCATGTTGATTGTTAATGGAGGGGGTGCAGCAATATTAATTTAGACGAAAATTGACTTTGTGAACTTTAGATTTACGTACTTTGCGCACATTTGTAATAGCGCACGAGCATTATGAATCCACTTTATATAGAAGAGGTCAATTAATTTTTCGTGGATATTTATATATTAATAATACTATCAAGACTTACTAGAAAACTCAAACAGTATTGACATCGAATGAATTCAAAACATTTGTAGTGAATTCATTCATTGTAGTGATATTTCTATTGTTTTAAGTAGTAATACATACGTTTTATCATGCTCAATCGAAATAAACAAAACCCGTATTTTTTATAATATTGTACAGATATTCAACCTTAAGGAAGGCATAATGGTAGACATGTTATGAACATGTTAAGGAAGACACAATGGTAGACATATTATATCAGAGTAAAGTAACTCGTTTGTGACCATATCAGATGTGTATCTACATATAATGTGCAATGATATCATTGGTTATCAATCGATTTGTTTGAAATTTAAAGTATTAATAAATTAAATATTTATAAGGTTTTTTCAAACAGTAGTGAACTACAGCAATAAAAATTCATTTTATATTATTTTAATTAATTGAATTTTTGGCTGACCATACAGCTGTTTTGAGTATTGCCAAATACCTATCATCAGTGGTCTTGGAAATAATTCTTATATTTAATTATTCGTAAATAATTAATTTTTGAGATTGTAAGTACCAGGAATCGAACTCGGGTCGATTAAATAATTATAAAATAAGTGGTTATGTTATCATATATTGGTTTTTTATAAATATTTTTCAGCGATATCTGGCACCTGAAATAGATATTAAAAATAAAGTGTGACAGACAAGTTTTGGTTTATTGTAAGCCTTTAACATTTAGCTATTAGCAAAAAAAAAAATTGAACACCACTTCCTGATATTGACGAAAGAAGCAAGAAAATCCATATAAAAATGGCGGAATTTTTACACATTTTTATTTGAAAATTTTTACTATTTTTTTAAAATTGAAAAGTCATAACTTCAAATTAAAAAAAATAACTCCACATAATCAATAACTTCAACTTAAGATTTAAAAAAAGCCATCATTTCTGGATCAATAGTAAAAAAGTTACATGGGTTTATAGTTGACCCTATTTTCACGAAAACTAAATTTCGCTATAAAATTGCAAAAACCTTCAGAACTAATCACTTCTATTTTTTGTTGAGGTTATATTTTGATACTTGTAATGAATATATATAATCAAATAGGAATACAACATTTTTTTTAAAATAATAAAAAAGTTTTTATGATAACTTTCATAGCAAAGTATCGAGAACCTTTGTGGTCCATATTGATATCGCCCTAGTATTTTGTTCTATATATTACAGTTTCTGAGATATTTAAAAAAATGAAAAGGTTGGCCAAATTTGAGCTTAAATTTAGAAAGGTTCCCATAAGCCAACTTAAAACAAATCCCATCTCAAAAACTATATTTGACAAAAATTTCATTTTAATATTTCTATTGATACAAAAGATATAGAATTAAAATCGTCTTATTTCATTTCTGACACATTGCGCAACAGTCTAAGTAAAATGAAAGAATTTTCATTTTCAGTCCCACATGATTCTTGTATTGCATGATTCTTGACTATGTGTCTATACACATTATATAAAATTTTGTTTGCAAGTTATCTTATCTAATATTTTATCAGTTAAGTTGAATTTTTAATCCCAAATATTTCTCACTTTATACAAAATTTAATATCAAATTTTTATAGCAGATTTATTACTTTTTAAATCTTTAAAATAAATAAATTAAGTTATCAAAGCAAATTTACTATTTTAATACATATCTCAACAATTTATAATAAATACTTATACATACATCCATTATTATAAGAGTTGATTAAAATTTATATAAATACTAAAATAATATATAAATAAATAATAAATTTTAATGCATTAGTAATGTTTCAATTAATTTTTCTTCAAAATATTCAAAATATGAAAACAAGGAACATTCTACTCCGTTAACGGAAAAAGTCTGTGTCTCTGAGGAAGAAAGTCTCCAAGTATAACTATAGTATAGAATAGAAGTATAGCTCTGACATTATTTCGGCTCCGTTAACGGAACAAATGGTATCTCTGGAGAAGGAAATCTCCAAGTTTAGCTATAGTATAGAATAGAAGTATAGCTCTCACATTATTTCGGCCTTGCGTCTTATGCGTTCTTGCGTTTCTCTTTTCAAAGTTAAACGTATGCAAATTAATGCAAGCGATTACAGTGATTATGTTATCCGGTAATCCGGATTATGCCCGGTAACAAATTATTATAGTGATTATGTTATGTTACGAAGTAAACTTATAAGTTTTTTATGCGTTTAATGCTATTTAAATGATATAATTATCGGTAATACAAAGAAAAAATGATTTACTTTTACTAAATTGAAAATATGTTGAAATTATTAAATATAATACTAACTATAAATTTTGTGTTAAATAAATTTTTTCTCAATGATGTATTTTATAATAATAATGAAAAAGTAAAAATAAATTTATGCAAATGTAATATTTTTTAATGCATTTCATAATTTTGCACCGTTATATTATTCATTTTAAAAATTAAAATAATTTTCAATATACAAAGTGCATAAACAAAATAAATATAAATGTATTAATATATTAAATATGAAAATCTTCTTGTTGACTTATATTTAAATATATAATCAAATATACTTAAGCAATAGGAACATTTATAATTAAATCTAAAAGAAATTTGAAATTTTCGTCTATTATATTTTGATCATTTCATGAAAAAGAACCGAAACACAAAAACTTGCTTGTGCTTGCGTACTTGCTTTGTGCTTTTGCAAAAGAGAGCAAAACTAAAACAGAGCAAGGATTTTAACAGTAATGGAACAACAACAACAAATATTTTTGATAAATTAATTGCAATCTGGATGACCATATAACGCTTTTTAGAGTATAGCCATGTACTTATCATCAGTGATCTTTGGACATATTCTAATTATTATTTAATTATATACTTTATAGGATGCATATATTACTGTTCGAACTCTTCTAACTTAAAAATAGTTTGTTTTCATCATAAGACGCGTCATATTTGACTTTAAAAAAAAATTAACATTTGAAATAGAACGTTTTATGCATTACCGTGTGGTATTTTACACAAGTACGTAATCATCGTACTGCACCCTGAACACTTGAATTGCGATTTATTTGCAAAAACTTTTATAATCCCAAGTTGAGAACTTCCTAGTATGAAAGTGAAAGATTTTAGTAAAAAATAGCTTCATTTATAAACAGTAACTATTGTAATTTAATAAATCAAAAAATAGTTCAGATATGAAGTTCCAAAATGTCAAGAACTACTCTTCTGTAGAAATACAGTAATTCAATAGACATTTTATTAACTAAAATAAATTAAATTAAAATTGAACACCATTTACAATTTTATAAAAGATGATTTTATCTAAAAACTTTATTATTTGTGTTAGTTTTACTACTTTTAATAGTTTTTATAGTAAACTGTAATACTACACTTTTCAATGGTTGACAGGAAGGAAGGCACTAAATTTGAAGTTTAAATAATCTAGCTAAGTGCCTTTAAAACAAAAACTCATTTCTAAACAATAACGCAAATAATTTCCTTCTTAAAGTAGCAAATCCACTTGAACTTACCTTCATTTTCAGACATGGCCATAATATAACGCTTTTGTTAAAATCTCGTGATAGTTCTTCAGCCAAGTGGCAATAACCAACAACGGCAGCAGTATTTGTTGTTGGCATTGCCGTTGTCGTTTGTGTTGTTGACGTCTGCCTTAACTTGCTAAGTTGCTCTTCGTGTAGTTCGCTCAAAGATGAGACTCCTTCAAAAAGGTCATCGTACATATTAATGTCCGCATTTAATGTCTTCACCACAGTGGTGTACTTGGGTTGTGCCAGTAGTTTAATGAAGCCACTCAAATCTGTAAGGAACACAAAAATATAACAATTCGGTTAAAAGGAATGAACGAAGTAGGATACCATGAAGTGTAAAGTACGCTGTCAGCTCGCCAAACGCGTAAGTTGACACAAAAATGAAAATTATTAAATTATTTTTAAGAGAAGTAGGAACCAGTACTTCATGGCTGCAGATTATGATGATGAAGCAAAAGGGTTTTAAAGAAAACTTCCTCGAATGAATAAAAACTTTATGTATTTGTCTTATGCGGCGCATAAAATTTGTTGCAAGAAGGAAGCACATCATTTGTTAAAGTCATTTGTTTTCTTAATGTTGCATAAATTATGAGCAATAGTTATGGAAAATTTAAGAGGTTAAATGTGATACTTAAACAAATCAATTATTTTTTAATGTTTTTGAAAACCGTAAAGGGTTTTTAGAGGATAGTTAATTAAGTCCTTCCTTTTAAAGTCCACAGCATACACTTCGAAGAATGGTAAATGGATTATTATATTATGAAATTAATAATTTTAAAAAAGTATAATAAAACTATTATATTACAGTAGAGATTTAGTGAATTGTAATATATAGCTATTCGTTTTAAGACAGCTATCCACTATTGCTAAACTAAGTACAAAGCAATGGGATTTTCATTTGTAGACTAATGTAGGTATAGAATTTGTAGTGTATAAGTTCTTTCTATACCTGAGGAGCGACGAAACTAACTGAAGCGATAAACGAAGATGTTGCAGTACATATGGAGCCTTTTGGATTATTGGATAAATTAAGCAAAAAATTGAAATCTATGCAAAATTGAATAGTTATTACTACGATTATAAAATCATTTTAAATACACAATTAATAATAACCGAAAATTTATTTCAAAATAATTGAAAAAATTCCAATCTGAAGCAGATTGGATTTGAAGTGCAGTAGTCAAAAACTAATGTTAATGAAATCGAAAGAAGAAAATTAATTTGCATGATCTGCTCATCATCACATATTAAATAAGATATATTATAAGGAAAATGTTAACAAAAATACTGAAATATGAAGCCGGTCCAATAACTTTGGGCAATAAGCATTGAGAAACATGCAGCGCAACAATATTTACAACAATTTTATATATGTGTATATATATAAACCATATATATTATTGCTATAACGTAATTTTTGATAGCAAATCTTTCATAGCTGAAAAATAACTTTTCAAATATTTTTGTAACTTAGAAACTAGCCGTTCTTGAATAATTTTAGTATTTAATATATTTTTAAATCAAATTTATTTAATTTCACTACAAATAAACAATCAGATACAAACGAATAGTCAATCAAATTATTCACCTCAGTTTGAAGTCAACAAAACCAAGTAACCACGACATATTCCGATTCACAGGAAAACCTCGAAATAGTTTCGCAAACAAACTTTTCCCTCAAAATTTGTGAAGCGTTTTCTGATTTGGTCCGTTGTTTGCTTTTTGGTGTTTAGTTTTGCATACCGCAACATAAATTGTATACAAATTTGTTCACTGAAATGAATTTTGTGGAAAAATGCTTCAAATGCATTTTCAGAGGGATTGAAAAGTTACATTTGGGGAACGCACACTTAAATTTATCATCTGTAAACTTTTGTAAAAAATTAAAATCGCTTTAAAAATTCAGAATATAGTTCATAAGAAACACAAGTAAAACGATAAATTAAAATCAATATTTTTTAATAAATTATTAATGACTATTATTAATGAGTTTCAATATTTTTAATTTCAGATGTTTTAGGTACATATTAAAGTGCTGCATCAAAACATTCGTTTTTGCGGTCATTCGTTTTATTTTCAAATGTGTACCATATTTACAAATTATTTCTAAAGCGAATACGAACGAATAACAGAAACGGTCCGATAGAATTCGTTTCCGCCGCATTCGTTTCAATGGAATGGGGGTTGATTTGTTCTCTATAATCGTTTGTTTTGAATTTTAAAATCAAATAAACAAATATTTTAGAGTATTTCAATCACTTTTAGAGTATTTCAATCACTTTTAGAGTATTTCAAATAATTCTATTTTTGCAAAGTAGTTGGATGTGCGTAGAGATTTGCAATAATTGCAACAACAAAGTACGTAAATTAGGTTTAATTTTCTATTATTTTCAATGCAAAAGTTGTTTAAACAGGTAGATCTAATGCAAAAGGTTAACTTAAAAAAACGGTTTGCGCAGAATTTCCTTCTTTGTCGATAGTTTTTTATGATGTAACAAAATAAATTGCTTCACATATTTACCTTTTCCTGGAAAATAATTTTATGCATGATATGGTAAAAATATCTATTTATGACAAGAGAGATTTTTAGAAATTTCTTAAGAATTCCTTCAGAATTCCTACTTTACAAAGTTTCTTGTAAATTATTTGCAACACCAGCAAGTAGTGCATCTTCAGAAAGGGTTTTTTCAGTTGCTCGGAACTTAATATCAGAAAAAAGAACATTGATTTCATCTAATCAAAGATCTATCAATCAAATCATGTTTTACACAACAATCTTGAAAAAGAGGAATTAAGTCAGACGATGCTCAACATTTAATTTGCATATTAAATTAAATTTGTGAACTGTAAAAACTGTAAAAAAACTTATTATAATTTTTTTAAATAAATTTTTGTTCAAAATTTTTTTTATATTTAATTAATATATTAAGTCATATTATATATGTAATCAACAAATTACTATTATCAATCAACATTTTAAATAATATTTAATTAATAAAAAAACTTAAATAAATAAATTTGGGTCTTACTATTTAAAAACACATAATTTTTGTATGAACTGAAAATCAAATGCTTAGAGTACTCCCAACTACTTCAACTACTTTTAGAATGTTTAGAGTTAGAGTACTCTAAACAAACGAAACAAATATTTATTCTATTCTATTTTGTTTTTATGCCTATACATTCGTATTTGTTCGTTGAGAGTGAGAGTATGCTACCATTCTAAACACAATAGAATGCTTTGAAACTGAAATCAAATGCGCGCGTGCAGTACTCTAGTACATATTTATTTGATTACTAACCTAACCAAAAAAGAAACCATTTAATAATTTGCAATAATTTTAAAAAAATTTGTAATTTTTCCTTCGAAGAGTCTTTAGTTTCTACAGATTTCTAATTGACATCTTAAATCATTTATACATATTTTATATATCACTTATAAATTATATATCAATTTGAATAGGTATTCAATAATAAAAAGAAAGATTTTATTAAAGACTTACTTCCTTAGTGCCTTCGCTCACAGCTCAGCTGCTCTTTGTTTACATTTTTCATATAAAACATATGACACATATATTTTTATGTTTTTAAGGGTTGCATTTTACATTTTTTACCTTAAATGAACTGATTTATTGATAATGAGCTTCTTTGTATGAATGCTCTTTAAATGATAAATCATGCTCATTAGTGTCTATAATGAGCAAACCGCCTAAATGAGACAGTATGAATATGGTATAAGTACTCACCGATTTTAGCAATAAAAATCATCACTAAATCATCATCACTAATGCCAATAAATTATTAATTAATTACAAAAAAATTTTCTTATGTCTTCTATTTGACTTTTATTGCAGTTTAAATTTATGAACCCTTTAAAAAACTCCCTTTAAGTATTAAATATAATTATTGTGATCTACTGCAATTTCAATTTAATATAAAGAATTTTAACCATAACTCCTTTTTACACATAAGTATGAACAAAAATCATGGTTAAAAAAATCATTTAAACTATCTTGAACCATTTATTTTTAACAATTTGTTGCAACTGTATTGTTTACAATTAATAAAATATATTAATTTTAAAATTTATTATATGAAACTATTTATAACCTGGATATACATTTATTGCAATAAATATTTAAAAACTAGCTGATAAATATTTGTGACAATTATATGCATACTTTATCACTTTAAAATCACTTTATTTGCCAATAATTTTAAAATAAATACTTCTTTTTATATATGAAGTACTTTTAAACCTTTTGATTACTAGCTTATAAAATAAAATCCCAGTTATATATCTCAAATACAATCTGTTATAGGTGAATATGAATTTCATATCGAACGATTAGAAAACGTGGTAATAAAAAAAATTAATTGTACTGTAAATTATATTACTAATCAATAATTGAAATAATTATATATTAAGTAGTTAATAATAATATGATAATGAAAATATATTAAGTAGTTTTACTTTAATTTTTGAAATTAAATTTGATTAAATGTATTCAAGTCAGCATAGTTGTTTTGTAAATATAACACTCCTATTTCTATATTTGATAAATCTGTTTCAATAAATCGTGGCCACCTACGAACAATATCTAAAAGCGTATGTAAAAATACATACATATGTAGCTGTACATAATTAAAAACGTGAAGAAGTTATAATTGTTAATATTTTGAAACCTTACTGGTTAATATTAAATGCCTGACAGTCTTCCTTGCAGCTTTGTATGCATCGTTCAGAAACTATTTGCACCAGAAAAAGTATGAAAAAACCTTTGGATTACACGAACCAATGTATTACACTTAAGAAAAGATTAAAAGAAAAAAACTTAATTAGTTAAGTTAGTGCGTTAAAAAATTAAAAATATTGCGAAGCTTATAAATTTTATTACAAGCGACAATGAACTGCAAGCCAGAGTTCGCAGCACCACTTCAACCGCCAATTTTCAAGAAAACAGGGAAAAAGTTTTATGGAAAGTTGCCTAGCAAGGAACATATAACAAGTAGGTGAATTTCCTGGGGAAGTACCAACTCACCCAAATAACCTCACCACAGCAGGAAAATTTCAACTTAAGTGTGAAAAATAGTTTAAAACCATAAAAAATTACTTAGTCAAAGTTTTCTGTCTTAAAAAAGTTTTTATTTTTTACTTAGCGAACAACCAGAGAAAAAAATTATTTATTAATTTTGTTGCATCTTAAGTACAGGGGAGTAAATGCAACAAAACTATTAAAAATTATGTTGTTTCAAAGAATATAAATTA